ATGCAGAGATCTGCCACAAACCTCAGGATGATATTAACCAATACGTCGCCTCTTCTGTATTTACACATAATCGATCATATTTTAAAATCACTGGCTTCACTGTTGCCTGATTTAGAAATTTCTATTTCTATGCCACCTATTTCTTTTTTTCTTTTCTTTTTGTGGGTTTGGTTTCCATCCTGGTTCCCTTTCTACAAAATATGTATCATCTGGTCGGTTTTTATTCTGCTTTGTAGATTGGTCTTGTTGGTTTTGCTTTTGTATCTCATATTTCTTTTTTATCCCTTGTATAGATTAGATGCCTCTTCTCTCAAATTTGTAGATAGTCCAGCTGGGGTATCCAATAAATCCAAAGGCAATTCATCTGGTACAGTCTCTGTAATTCGAAATTTTACCTTTATTTCCGGCTCCTTCTGCTTATCCTGTATTATACCTGGAGATGTTAAATTCATTTTCAACCTATTTTGATAAAATTCTTCTGCTCTTTCAACAGTATTTAGCTGATATCTTTCTCCTTGGTATCTAAATATAATACCAACTGGGGCATCCCACCTGTAGGAGATATTTCTCTTTTTTAACTCATTCACCAGAAAACCAAATTTCTTCCTTTCCATCAATATCTTAGGTGGGAGTTCCTTATAAATCCAAATCTTTCTTCCATACAATTGCAAATTAGAATTAAAGGAATTTTGAACGATATTATTCCTAATTTCCTTATCTGTAAAATAAATCACCACATCTCTAGGCAATTGCCTTTGCTTAGCAATCCAGGAGTTGATTCGATAAGCTCTGTCGATCCTACAAAACACTTCATCAGGTTGAACCTTTAGAATCCCAGCTAGAAATTCAGAAGATATTTTCCTTAAATCCTCTCTATTATTTTCCTGCAAACCTCTTAATCTTATCGCATATTCTGTGAAATTATATTGTACCATTAAAATCTCTTTTTCAATCTTCTGTTGCAGATTTTCTACATTACCATACTTTTGATCAGCATCCATTTTAGATTTTTCTTCTAAGCTATTATCCTGAGTGTTTGTCAAATCATTTTCAATTTTTTGAATTCTATTGTCCAATTTATCTTGAATTTCTTCCATTTTAGACTCTAGTACATTAGTATTTGTGTCCAACTGCATCATAAATCCTGTAAAACCATTAACCACTTTTGAGAGTTTTTTCTCCAAAAAATCAAACTTAGATTTCACCAATTCTTTAATTTCCTGCTTAAATTTTTCAAATTGCTGATTCACAATCTCCTCCCTTCTTTCAATCTCCTCTATAAAAAATTCTATTATATTAAAATCAGGTTTCTGAGACTGAAGAATTAAGACTTGTTCCTTTAAGTTGTTGGTGGGGGATCCCCCCCCCTTCTTGTTTATCTGACTTTATGAGTCTCAGTGCCATGTTTCCGCCCAGGCAGGCTTTGTTAAAAAAAAGCAAGAAAAAAGGACTTCTTTCCAATCAACAACAATATCAGGTCTCCAAGGGGGAAAAAAAAAAGAGAAAGACACAGGAGCGAAGTTTTGTCTACAAATGTAGCCAGTGGTATTTATTCCGCTACATTGTAGTAATAGAAAACGGAAGCCTCTCCTCCAGCCAACGCCATTTTAAAAAGCTTTTTTTTTCCTCCTTCCTCTCCTCCTCTCTCTTAAGTAATTTCTTTTTTAAAAAATCAGTAAAATACTTGCGGTTCAATATTACAGGTCCAGCTCACATTTTCTTTGAGTAGTCTGTTAAATTTGCAGGCTTGCTTTTGACGCCTGGCTCTGCATCAGCAGAGGTCTCCCAAAGCCCTGAGCGGCGGCTGGGGATACGGGGCATCTCATCCGCTCCGTCCCAAAAGTAAAAAAAAAACTTTTGGGACTCCGCAGAGAGTTCTACCCACCCCTGCCGGCTCTATCTCCGTTTCCTCATGGAAACGGAGTTTTTTCGAGCCGCCGTTCCGTTGTGAAGGCGGCTCTGACAGGCAGTGGAAGCTGACGATCCCAAAGGAACGTCTGGCAGCAACAAACAGCAAACCGGAAGTCCATGAAGTGTATACTTTAGATCCATTTTATAGTATTACATGGTGAATTTGGCGATTTGTTATTGGAAAAGTTTTAATATAAAGATTATTGTCAACAGAGCAGTGCCACTACTTTCAATTAAAACATCTTTCCTATCTTGATATCAGCCAATAAGCAAAGCTGTATTAAAATTATATTGGCAATATGAATGAATAGTTCACCATGAATCTTTACCAGATGTCCGGCCTAAAAACACTTCTTAAGTTATGACGGCAAAGCTAGTCCCTGTGAAGAAGTGTCCTTGTTATTAATAATTCTCTTCACATTGAAAAGAATTTTCTCTTCACTGTGTAAGTTCACTGTGTAAAACTGGAGCAAATCAAACATATGCACTTATTAAATATCAGAAAGTCGCTTGTTCTAAATCTTCTATTGCAAAAAGATATTGCATTTTGATGCCTTGGGACCGCACATAATATGGGAGAATTGATGTCCCAATAAATGGAGCACTGAAGTTGTGTCATGTTTATGACACACAATATGGGACTTTCAAAGGTTTGGGTTGAGATTTTTGTTAAACTACATTAATCGTACTTAGGACCACAAGTTTCATACATTTCCTGTCACAAAAAAGAAGTCAGGAAGGCATACCACTACGTTTTTAGCAGTTGCACCACTGAAATTCTGCAGCACAATCAGAAGGAGCTTTAACAGCCATTTCATATTACAGTATCACCTGTGATCTTCAATCATAGATTGGCCTTCTCTATTGTATTAGATGAAGGCTTCTTATAAGTACAGCAGATTATAGGTGTACTTGAACAATTTCAACATTTTATTTCATTTCATTCAAAGTCTTTTTGAGATTTCCTTGAACAGATGACAGCTGAAAGATCACAAACCACCCAATACCAATAATTTCCATTTTCAGGTGGAACAATATTGCATAACCTAAAATGATTAAAATATGGTCAGGATTTCTTTATGCCCAATGACCTGTTGAATATAAAGACCGATGATATGAATTAAGAGTTGTTCTGTATTTAGCCAAGGCAATTTAACTCCTAACCATTTAACCAAGAAGAATTACAATTATTTGTAATGAAATTATGCAGTTTCAGAAAAATAAATTCTCTTCATCCAGTGCCTCCTCCTTCTTAGAATGAAATATTTTGGATATGTCTGTGAACACAACACAAGCTAGTCTTGAAATGATAATGTTGCCTTCTCAGTGCAATCAAGAACTCTTCTTATATTGCTTTCATGAATCAGGCTTGGAGTGGTACCATTGAAAATAAGGAATATAAGAACTTCAGATATGAAGTATATGTATGCAACAGAGGTGGGTTTCAGCAGATTCTGACCAGTTCTGGAGAACCGGTAGTGGAAATTTTGAGTAGTTCAGAAAATCGGTAGTAAAAATTCTGACTGGCCCCGCCCACATCTATTCTTTGCCTCCCAAGTCCCAGCTGATCAGGAGGAAATGGGGATTTTGCAGTATCCTTCCCCTGCCAAGCCCGCCAAGCCAAGCCACACCCACCAAACCATGCCATACCCACAGAACCGGTAGTAAAAAAATTTGAAACCCACCATTGGTATGCAAGCTTAAGTCATTCCTCATTTGCCATGCTTTAGTGAAGTGTATCCTCTTTACAAGGCAATTAATATGGGGAAGGTGGAGTATGTGCCAATGGAAAACTTTTTTCTAATATTTAAAGCCATGCAAAATATGCACTTTCACAAAGATTTGTTTGAAGGTTCTCTGTCCATCCTTGGTGATTCCACTAACTATCAAAATACAGAAAGAGAATCAGTATGGTTTCTGCAAAATGGAGTCTTACTCAGTGATGATAATATTGCACCTTCAATTCTTGACAACTTCATCAAACAGTTTTATATATTCCAGGTAAAGTATATAGACTTCTCTTACTATGTAATATGATGGAATCAGGTGCTCTCCACAGCTACTCGCCTCCTTTAGAACAGCTTACCTCTTGAGATAAGAATGGTCTTCACTCTTACACTTTCTGGAGAATGGTGAAAACCTAGCTTTATGAGAAAGGCCTTCAGTCATTGAGTAGCTGGAGAAAGAGCCATGTCATTGTCAATGTTCATAGTTGTTATTGCTTTTTAAATTATATTATGCTTTGTATTGTTTGACTTTGTATACTACCTAGAGCTTCCAGAGTACATTGGTTTATAAATGCTACAAATAAGTAAACAAATATTTCATAATATGAGACCCAAAATAGGACTTCTTATTGCTTCATGAAATAAATGCAAAGGATCATACCATAGTCTCTCAATAGAATAGAATAGAATAATTTTATTTCTATACCGCCCTTCTCCCGAAGGACTCAGGGCGGTGTACAGCCTATTAAAACACAAGACAACATCAGTTAAAATAGTTTAAAATTATTAAATGAATTCGGCTCAAATTTAAAACCCCAGAAATTTAAAACCCAATTTAAAATTGTTATGTTGATAGACCAGCCTGGCGGAACAACAGAGTCTTGAGTGCACAACGAAACACCCGGAGGTCGGAGATCTTACGTATTTCCGGGGGCAGTTCGTTCCACAGGGCTGAAGATAGTATCTTCTGGACTTCATAATTCATCTTGCCTAATGTTTTCTTTGCAAAGTTTATCTTGCAATTCCTCACTTGCTTTTATTTTATTTTATTATTTTTCTGATTTATAGGACTGCCCATTCCACAGCAATGTGTACGTGGGTATGTAATTTCTATATAGCTTAATGATTTGTTTTAGATTCAGCCTGAATTCAGAGCGGATTATAATGGGGAAATATAGGTTAGCACTGAATTAATAAGTAACTGATCACTCTGTTTTATTATCTAGGTAGCAGTGGGCTTATATCACCTACTTTAGGCATGGATAAATCACCTTGTTGGAAAGAGAGTTCTTATCTAAAGAGATTAGCATGCTCTTATCTTTAGAGATACACTCCATTAATCATGCATTTGTTCTGACCTACCTCTACTTGCCCCTCCAGGCTGTCATGGATGTTTGTACATGAAGGTGTGCTCTACTCAATGGTTTGGACTCTTGGTAGTGGAAAGCTGGAAGAAAAATTGAATGGTAAACTAATAAATCATAGTATCACAAGACAAAGGAAAGGGAGGTGTGTTGTTATAAATCTAGTGAAAAGGGAAAGTGAGCAAAGAAAATCTTTTAGTCAATAGCAGTGAATTCCGTCTGAGTTGTGAAACCAGAATAAAGCAGTTAGAGGATCAAATGAAGAATTGGAACTTTCTGTCGCCACCTTTCCCAATATGGTAGCTTTGAGATGTGTTGATAAGAACTTCCAGAATTCTCAGTCCCAAATTTTGTAAAAGTGTTAGCAGCAACGGTACATTGGAATATCTGTAAGAAATACTACTTGCCTGCAAGCACGAACTGGTGGGATCACAAAGTAAATAAAGAGAAAATGAAGAGGCTAAAGGATTCTGGGACTTTAGAATTTAAATTATACGGCACCCCAGACTTAACCATTGTTGATAAGAAAGAATAAAAGTCTGGATAATGGAGGTTGCAATATTTGGAAGCAGCAGAACAGAAGGGAAAGAGCTGGAGAAAATCACAAAATATAAAGACCTCCAAACAGAATAAATATGGCAAAAGAAAACAAAGTTAATGCCAGTAGTAATATACCTTCAGATGCAAGCCCCAAACCACCAGAACACCATTGACATTGACAAAATCATCATCTGTCAATTGCAAAAGGCAACTTTACTTAGAGCAGCTTACATCTTGTGACAATACTTTTAACACCATTAAACAGCAATATCTGCCTATCCCAGGTCCTTGGGAAGGACTCACGGGTGGACAAAAATGCCAAATGCTATCTAAACATCTGGCTGTGAGCAACCATCATAACCATCCTAGATATTTGTAGGAATGTGGAAAGATTTGATCTGGACTTGATTTCTCACACAAAATTCTAGAAGCCCTGGCAAGTTATAACAGACCTTTGCTGATTTATAGTGGATAAATTAACAGAGGGATCAAGATTAATCCTAGAGGAAAACAAGAATGAAGAAACTTATTTCTGATAGTCCTGGAAGAGAAAGTGATGGGTGAAGCAGTAATCCTTACAGTGAGGTCTGGATGTGGAGGCTGGAGCTGGTTACCAGTTGTATTTTGGCTCAGGCAGAAAATGTTTGGGCCAGCACTGACAGCAGTTGTGGTTAAGCAGAGATTAACATCAAATAACTTTGAAAGAAGAGGGAAAGAGAACACATAATAAACTGAAATATTATAAAAAGCAAATGAAAGAGCAGCTCAGAATCAAATTGTTAAAATGGAAATAACTCTCTGAGAACTACACAGTTGCATAATAATCTCTGTACCATTCTCTGTTATTTATAAGTATATCTGTCATTTTTAATAAAGTAGAGAAAATTCTTCGCTATTTGCACTGGATAGTACAATGTTCTTTTTGCCATCAAATGTTAAAAAAAATCTCTGTTAGAAAAATGGCTAAATATGCAAAGAGCATAACAATGACATTTTAAAATCTGGTATCCTCATCTGAATAGGCAGCCCACAATCCCAATTGTGTGGATTTCTCCCACAATTTTTTTAAAAAAATCACAATTAATTTTCACGATCTTTATGAATAAATGTTCATAAACTGTTATTAAATATTGAATAAGCTGAAGAAATTCTTATTCTAAACAAATCAATTATCATCTTTTGCCACTGAGAAATAATATTTAAAATTCCATATTAATTTCTTCAGAAATGTTTAAAATATGAACATACAGCTTGAACCAGGGGTGAAATCCATGAGACAGGTTCTGACAGGTTCTGGAGAACTGGTAGCAGAAATTTTGAGCAGTTTGGAGAACCAGCAAATACCACCTCTGGCTGGCCCCAGAGTGGGGTGGGAATGGAGATTTTGCAATATCCTTCTCCCAGGAGTGAGGAGGGAATGGAGATTTTGCAGTATCCTTCCCCTGGAATGGGGTGAGAATTGATATTTTGCAGTATCCTTCCCCTGCCACACCCGCAAGCCATGCCCACCAAGCCACACCACGCCCACCAAGCCACGCCCACAGAACTGGTGGTAAAAAAATTTGGATTTCACCACTGACTTGAACCTAATGTTAAACACAGATATTCAAGAGTTCTTCTGATAATTTTTCCTGTAGCCAAAGAAATTTAGTTGTTAACTTCAGAAGCTATATTTACAGCATTATATTCTCAAAGAAGTATTATTGTTGTATTTTGGGAGTATGCTTCCTACCTACTTAGATAAGGAACAACTCCTTGTAGATGTTATAGAGTCTTTGCTCAAATGAAATAGAGAGATGAGCCAGTTATTTGGGAAGAAGGAAACTGGTATGAGTAATGCTTTTTTTTTTTTTTTTAAAGATCATGAGAAAATATTCAGTGCTTCATAATTTTTGTCTATAGACATTTATATATAAAAATCCTGGGATGGTGCTATGTATGAGGAATATAGTATTCTGGGAACATCAGTTATGTATCCCAACCATGAATTTGCCTTTTATGCAACAATATTTGGTTAGAATCCCCTTTATTTTTGCACCATAGTCATCATCATCATAGCATTTGCAGAGACAAAAAGTTAGGTCTGATTGGCAGCAGCTCCCTTGGATTTCTAGCCATTGGCCATCCTACCCTGTTTCCCCCAAAATAAGACAACCCCTGATAATAAGCCCAATCAGGCTTTTGAGCGCATGGCAATAAGGCCAAGCGCTTATTTCAGGGTTCAAAGAAATATAAGACAGGGTCTTATTTTTGGGAAACACGGTAACTATAGAACAATGGGAGCTGTAATCCAAAAGATATGGAGATCACCAAACTGTTTCCAGAAAGAAGTAGAGATCAGACCATAACAAGCCTTCAGCTTCAACCTCAATAATTCACAGGCAAACAATCAATACAAACTCAAGGTAAACCACTCCAAACTCAATCGCAGAAAATAAGACTTCAGCAACAGAGTGGTCAACGCCTGGAATGCTCTACCTGGCTCCATTGTTACATCCCTCACAGCTTCAACCTCAAACTGTCTACTGTGGAACTCACCCAATTCCTAAGAGGTCCATAAAGGGGTCATGCATAAGCACACCAGCGTGCCTACCATCCCTGTCCTACTGTCCCCATTTATTTATATTCATTTCCTTCATTCATATTTATACCTGCTATCTTGTACATGTTTGACAAACTAATAAAATATAAATAAATAAATAAATAAATAAATAAATAAATAAATAAATAAAGAAAGAAAGAAAGAAAGAAAGAAAGAAAGAAAGAAAGAAAGAAAAGCAAGCAAGCAAGCCTTTGTAGTAATTCGTTATTTGATTTCTGGTTTCCACTCTGGCCTGGCAAATGACTGACAAGTGAACAGGCTGCAGATTACTATTGTCTGTTCAAACAGTGTCATGAGGTGGGGGAAATTAACTAACATCAAGAATTGGTGTCTACCTGTTCTGGTGAGAGTTCTAAGAGTTTTCTCAGGAAGCTACTTGGGCCCTTCCATGTAGACTCTTAAAAGATAATGCCAGGGATTTTTAATGGCAATCTTAAATTCATAGGGAACTATCCCCAAAATAGTCCCAATTCTTGAACTGCTAAAAGTGTTAAGTTCAGCTGAAAGCAACAATGGCTTGTTTTCTTTTGTTATTGGATTCTTGCAGCAGATCCATTTCCCTAGACCTTGTCCTCTCTCCAATTGTCATAATTTATCAACTCTTGTAGCCTGATCTAAGTATTTCTCACCTCCTGGCATTGACACACTGCCTGCATTGCCTCACAAATACTGAATTTTCTGGCAATTTCCCCAGTGGAAATCTCCAGAACTTGAACCAACTGATAGCCTTCTCTGACCCCCTTCCTCATTTCTCTACCAAGCACTTCTAGGCTCTAAATTTGAACCTTCTTCCTGGAAAGCTGGACACTGAGAGCAATTGAATCAGGGCCAAAGCCCTGTTCTTCCAGCACCCACCAGCCTGAAGGCAGCAGCCATTACAATGCACAATTGACAACATGGTAGGAAGTTCTCTGTTTTATACTGCTTTGGGGGAAGCTGCACTCAGAGACATCTCTTAGAAAAGAGGATTGCATGTATTTGTGTTTCCATGTGAACTGGCAGAAGGAAATCTACAGACACCATATGTGGTTGAGAAATAGTAGGTGTTTTGTGTGTTTTTTTTTAATCCCTGTGTCTGTATAATCTCTTGTTTCTGGTATGCAGTAAACATTCCACATGCTTAATAGAACCTCCTACGCAGCTCTAGGAAGGGCATTCTTAAAATGAAAGCTTCCTGCCAAAGCCTTGGTCACTAGATTTACATGTAAACAAGCTGGTACTTTACTTCAGTTGCAGTTGGCACATGTGTGCGTGTGTGTGCGCGCGCTTGCACACACACACACAGGGAGAGGGAGGGAAGAGGGAGGGACAGAGAGACTTTCTGACAAAATTACATGTTTTTCTCCAACTCCCACACAGGCACTTAGTGTTGAATGTGAGGGCGATGTCTCCAGGTGCTGTCTTTTGCCACTGGAAGTGGAGGGCAGGGACAATAACAGCAGCAAAACATAAGCTACCTTAGAGGGAGCCAGATTGCACTTGAAATACCTGGAAGTGCTTGAAAGTCAGAATAACAGAATTGGAAGGAACCTTGGAGATCTTCTAGTCCAACCCCTGCTCAAGCAGGAGACCCTATACCAGTGATGGCTAACCTTTTTGCTGTCTCGTGCCAAAAGCAGGGGGAGTGCGGGGAGGTCACCCATGTTCGTGCCCATACCCATAATTCAATGCGCCTTGCCCCCACTTTTAGCACGCAATGGCACAGTGGGCCCGGTAGGCCCGTTTTCCCCCCACCCCAGATTCCAGAAGCTTTCTAGAAACCTGGGGAGGGTGAAAACGGCCTTCCCCACCCACCCACCAACCCCGGAAGGCCCTCCAGAGGATTGAAACAGCCAGTTTCCCAACTTCCGGTCAGTGGGACCGGAAGGCCCAGAAATCAGCTGGCTGGCGCACACATGCGTGCTGGAGTTGAGCTACAGCAATGCTCACGTGCCCACTGAT